AATTCTAAAAAATTTTGCAGATTTTTTACAACATTTCTTCAAAAATCTGCAAAAATACATATTTTTGCAAATTTGCATTTATTTAATTTTCCCGATGTATGCATAGTCATGGCATACGTCATTGCATCATTTGCATATGATTTTCGCCTTCAATCAATTTCCCTTTGCAAATTGTTGACTCTCAGCTTCGTTTGGTGGTTCTGTGATGCATATGTGTGGCTCCCTTGCTTTTTAATCACATGATCTACCATCACTCCGCATTTATTGCAGTTCTGCGCAGATTTGCAAAAAAATCAAATAATAAATCAAATGAAAATCTGTGCAAAACTTCAAGTTTGATACTATAAATGCAGAAATTAGATGCAATTCTGTGTAAAACTTCAAATTCTAAAAAATTTTGCAGATTTTTTACAATTCTTCAAAAATTTGCCAAAATACAGATTTTTGCAAATTTGTACTTATTTAATTTTCCCGATGTAGTCATATAAGCTAAAGCTTTGTAGTCACGCAAGCTAAAGCTAGGTTAGAAAACCTCATTTTCTGCTGCAAATTCTGTCTGCATTACAATTTGATTTATACAAATTGTGCGATAAATTTTTAGAATTATGCTGCAGATTATGCAAACCAAGTAGAAATATGCAAAATATAATTAGGGTTGTCAAATTACTATAATTTATAAATTTTTATCGTAAGTTACTGAATCCTTCAGTAACTTACTAGGTAAATTATTATACTTTTCAAAAATCCCTAAAAAACCATACTCGTCTTTTGTATTCATTGACTATCTATTGTCCAAAATGCTCTGATATTGCTCTATCTTTATTTCTAGCATTTTATGCACAGATTATGCTCTATTAATTATGCGAAATTAGTTCTGATATGCGAATATGCTGTCTCATATGCTTAAGCAGATGTACTATTCCATGAGCGTAGTCACATGAAATAAAGCCAGGTAGTCGCATAAATTGATGCTATCATTTATGGTTTTTTTTTTAAATAAAGATATGTATGATTAACCATGATTAATTAATCGTTTAGTAAATTGCCAGGATTAGATTCTGTTCATTTTAATGGTTGTGTTTCAAGAAAATATATAATTAACTGTAAGATTAAGAAGACAAATACTCATGAACTTAGACTTAAAATATTTTATATACAAAACATAGGATTTTATAGTTAATAAAAATGATTTAAAATTTTTAAAATTAATTCTTAGAATTATTTCAAGTTTGAATACTACTTTAGCTTTGTTATTTTTGTAAAGCTTAGTAATGCTAATTATATAATATAAAAATGTGAAAAACTGAAATAGCATAAAAATTACTCTTAATTTAAATCAAGGTATAAAATTTCTTCTGAACACTATTTAAAAAATTCCTTATAAAATTTTAATATTAATAGCATTTTTTAAGTTTTAACTTAATGCAAGATAAAATACTAACATTGTAAAATAAAATTTTGTGTTAACTATTTTGGCTAGTATAGGGATAATGATCACAGAAAACACCTTAAAAACAGCTAACCACGGAAATCACTCTTAGTCACCGCAGAATGTCACAAAATTCTAAAAAAGTAATACAGAATATCATAGAATTCTACAATATCGTATAAATTCAGGTTGGCACTACTGGGAAGTCCCAGAAAGATAGACAATACATCAACACAAATTATGAGCATGCTTGTCGGGGAGCTGTGGAATTATGATTTAAAAAATTGGTGCAAAGCTGCAGAAATTACAAAATTATATCACAGAAATTAGTAAAAATTCCAAAAATTTACCACATTAATCACAGAATTTGTCTTAATCACACACAGAATTTAGTCTTAACCAAAACAGAAAATCATCGTTTCTGGGCTGGTATGAAGAAGCCATAATGTCTAAAGCCGGGTGCTAAGCTACAAAAAACCTGGGTCGTCTAAAGCCAGGTAGTGACATAATCTAATAGCCATATTACTACCCGGCTTTAGGAAGACTTATATCACTACTTGGCTTTAGATGATATGCGCCACACTAGTACTGTGAACCATCTAAAGAACTACCCCAGTATCGCCACCAAAATGTTACAGTCACATGACAATTTTGTGGCGTAAACAAATCAGATTTCAAGATCAGGTATAATGTTACACAATCAGGAAAATTCAAAACAAACATTCACTTTGTTAAAAATCGCCTGTTTCTCAAAAACTATCATAAGAAACAACCTTTAACGCTCTAACAAAAAGTTTTCCTTAAGCGATTTTACTATTAAAACTCCTCTAACCCTAACCTTAGTACTGACCCTAACCCTAATCTAAACGAACTTAAAGAATTTTTCGATAGTCACGTGACTGTAACATTTTGGTGACGATACTGGGGAAGATCCATCTAAAGTCGATAGTCACATGACCACCAGCCACAAATCAGGAGGCAAAAAAATCATTAAAAAATTGATCTGATAATTTAGATTTCTTTCAATATTCCTTAAACATTTCATGTAGCAAATTATATAAATAGATAAATTGACATGACTCAGAGAGTAAAAAAAAATGCAAATCATTATTTTCATCGTTATAATTCCTATTCTGTCACTTGCACTTTCTTGCTCCTTTCTTATTCTGTTACTTAACCTTCCTCTTGTCTTGTTTGTGCTTTTTCTATTTGGGGTTGTTTTAATCTTACTACGCTTTAACCGGTATGGAATTGGACTATCAGTGAAAATATTTATACTATATGACCTGATATAGAATTTCTTTTTTATGTAGGTTTTTATCTCATAGAGCTTTAGAGAAAGCGATTTCTATTGAACGTTCTACACCTTTGCCTCTCGAAGCTCCCGATTGTTTTAAAGTTAGATGGTTAGAGAAAAATTGGGCTGAACTTACAAAAGACGGGAGAGGTTAGATTTACTATTACCGTTTTTAAATGTCATTAATATATTAAAGCTTATTATAGTCGACCCTCCATATAGTCACCTCTCATATAATCACATTATATGTAATCACATTTTTATTTAGGCCAAACTATGATTTAATTTATGAAAAAAAAACCTCCATATAAGCACAACCCCTTTATAAGCACATTCTTAAAAAAATTTAATATGTGCTCAACTGTGTGATTGTATGGGAGGATGACTGTATTTATTGTAGATTTTTGTCAAGAGGATTGGTATAGTACCCACATCGATCTATTGAGAAGTAAGTTTTATTTTTTATTATTGAAAGATACAATTAATCAAATGCTTCTAAACTAATTGTGTCATAATTTTTTTTTTAGGAGAAGGGATTACTCCTTTAGAACACCTTGCCAACCATTTGAAACGAGTACAAAAAAGAGTTTAAGATAAAAACAGACACAGAAGATGAGGATATTGACCAAGAAGAACAATAATGCCCCTTGTCGACAGGTCACACTGAATCAGATTGCTTGCTCTAATATGGAAGGATTAAGTGCCACAAAGAAAGGAATTATGGTTCAAGCAATATTGGATGTTGCTAATATGACATTATTACATAACTGTCTGTTGTCTGACTATATTATTGTGTATCATTTTTTTTCTTTGATCCGTCTTAGATAAACTTTTATTTGGGTGCGAGCAAATTGATTTCGTTCATGTTTCAAGACATGTTATATCAAAAAGTATATTGACTTACTTTCGAATTTTACTGGGGACACTACTAGGGCCAGCCATTTGACTTTCTGGAGCTATTTGATTTCTTTTTTTTTATCCTTGTCCCCACTAACTCTAGTGTCCTTAAGAAAAATAAGATTCTAGAAAAAAATTCATTACTTCATGGTACCTACGATATATAATAGATAATACGTATATACATATATAGATATAACACATATGTATGAAAAACAAAGAGACTTTGCTAGGCCCACTAGAGTCACTAGAGACAGCTATTCGAAAAAAGGTTCTATGATCCGAAAATTATTAAATTACTGGCCTTACTTCTGATTCCAGCAATTTTTTTTTCTAGGGACAGTTTTTTCTAGAAACAATGGATAACAATTTAGTTTCATCAAAGATCTGTGTCAAAGATTCTATTGTTTGCCCGTTCTAAACCATTTTAGATAGCTTATTCTGATAATAAAAGGCTTTAGCGTTACATAAACTATACTTAGAAGCAATTGATTTACTATATTCTAAACAGGGAACATGTTGACGCCTTTTCCAATGAATAGCACATCCTTCTTGCCGATAGCACAGATCTTCCCTGATACTGACAAATATAAGTTCTTGTCATCGATTATTATTTATTGAAACTTACTTGATTCTGTATAATATTATCTCAGGTGAAAATATTCAATAATTATTTTCAATTTAAACTTTTTTATCAGGGTAATATATTACAAAACAACCCGACTATGCCAACCATCGATACCCAAAACTTCCAAGGAAGGGCCTTCTACCACCAGGTACTATCCACGAATCCAGAGATTTCATTAGCAGAGAAGGGCACTTTATGTGGTAGAATATTATTCGAGGAGGATATTTTATACAGTCTAAATGGTAATAACATTTATTTGGTTATTTAAATATAAAAAATAAAATATTATATATGTTATATACTATATAATTTAAAATATTTTGGACAATTTTGAAACAGTTTTGGACACGTCCAAAACTGTAAAATTTAATTGGAATGTCCAATTCCCAACACTGGCTAGAGTGTCCAGGATTATGATACGGCATAATATTCGCATAATTTGCCTTATAGGCGTAAAGATACTCTAGGCCAACGGGCATCATTTATGTTGACAAAATTAAGTTACGCAGAATAATGTTATCGCCGGAATTATCAAGTCGGCCTAAATTATGTTATAACGCCAGTAATATTTCGCACCCAGGTTGGGTTCGGATGATGGTCCGGAAAATGTCTTCGAATTTTTTTACGTTTTTTTCTTTTTTATTTTTCAATTATAGCGATAATATAAAGCCATATTTAATACAATTTACAACACATATCTAGAGGTTGGAACCGAATTGTTGCACCCGAATTTAAAACCAGTTCAACCCGATTCGGATATTTTATATTTGGATTTACAGTTGTTCTCATAAATTTTGGGACAAACTAAAAATTTGTCGTTTCCCGAAATCTCTTCGGTTTCGTCCTAAAGGTCACCTAACTCTCCGGAATCGCGTCATTGATTTCGGAACTTCAGCCCGGAGATAGTGATGTATTTTCCGGAAAGCTAGATGATTCATAGGACGAAACCGAAGAGATTTCGGGAAACGAGCAATTTTTAGTTTGTCCCAGAATTTATGAGAACAGCTGTAATAAAACCGGATTTATCGAATTTAATAAAACCGAATAAACCCGAAAAATCGAATTTAACAAAACCGGATTTATCGAATTTAATAAAACCAAAAAATCGAATATTTTTAAGGTTTGTTGTTTTTTAATTCACTTATTTTAAACTCCTAAAAATGAACAGTGTAAAAGGGTAAACCGTGGCTTGGAATGAATTTTTTTCGCACATAGATTAGATGCATATTAGGTTTAGAGGATTTTGCGCATTTGTACATTCTGTAAATATGTACATTTTGAAAATATGTACATTTTGAACATATGTGCATTTTGAGCATATGTGCATTTTGAACATATGTACATTTTGAACATACGTATGTACATTTTGAACATATGTAACATATACGTATACATTTTGTACATAAACATTAGGTACATTTTGTACATACAGTAGTGATCAACGCAAATATAGCATAGCGAACATAGCCATTATGTATCTACTAGTAGCATAGAAACTACAAATACGATGTCTTTGGCATCTATAATAAAGCAATTAATTAGTTAGTGGAGTTGAAGTTGAACTGAGTCAGAGTTCTGAGAAGAACTCGATAGAGTTCAAATATTAGTTGCATAAGATTTCGTTCCAATTCCCTCCGATATATAAAAGTCTAATCCAGTGATCCCGAATTAGTACCTCGTGACGTAATATACTGTAGAATTCTAATCTATCGGACCAAATCTCACTACTATTAAAGTTTAGGTTAGATAGTGACCTATAGTGTTGTTTTAGATAGTTTTAGTGTGTTGATATACGTGAGGCCCATATTTTTTAGATTCCGGATCAGTTTCCACGCTCACAACGGGCAATGTGTCGAGTTATGGTAATGGTGTGGGCGACCAAATTCGTAGGGTATGGGTATTGTCACGAGTTTCGTGACGTAGGAGTTGGGCTTAGATAGTTTAATTTATTTTATTTTATTTTTATCCTTTTATT